TTCATTAACTTGTAGTCTTCAGCATGAGTCATCCCTAGACATTAGGTACTTTTCTTAAATATTTTTCTTCCACCATCTAATAAATAAACCATTTTGAGTTTAGTATTTTCCTGTATAATGACTAATAGTGGGATGAACAAAAAGAAGTTTATTGGATTGCAGTTTGGATGTCCTTATTAATGAAAATAAAAACTTGTAATGGTCCAGCTACTAAGACCATTCTCTAACTAAGTGTGTGTTTGAGCTACATTATTTTGAAATAGTAGATTGATGAAGAATGTGTGGTTAAAAATGTGGAAAAATTTAGAATTTGCATGTAATATTAATTTATTAAAGATTGTGTGGTTTAAATGATGTTAAATCACTATTTAAAAATGCATTTTTTTTTGAAAGAATGCGGCTCAAATAGGGCCTTAATAAAAATACAGGAAAAAGGATATAAATTTTCCGTGGGAGAGACCAACTAGATAGTTAACATTCTTTCTATTGAATAAACAATTTAAACCAAGAATATAGCTAATCTTTGTTAATACGTCATTTTCCAGCATCGCTTTCTCCTTTCCCACGGGAAAGCACTTGACAGATTCCAAAGAAGACATTTAATGATTTTCCGGGTGCACAAATTCCCCTAAAAACCCTTTGCCTACAAATGTAAAAAGAGTTGAACATTTTAGACTCCGACATAGCCTATATTTGACACGTGACTTAATTTTTCTTCATTTTTAATTAATTTAAAAAAAAAGAAAAATCTCGAGAGAGCCTAGCATGGTTAGATTAAATCACCTTGGACCTAAGAAATATGCAACAAACTTGACTATGAGGGCTAAAATAAGTGGACAAGAAACATGACAAATACTTTAAATTTCATTAATCTTTTCTTCCATTCACGTTTCCAATGGAGATCAAAATAAGATAAAGATAAAAGTTAGATAGAATTTTAATACTGAGTTTAATTTGAATTATAAGTATTTTAATTAGATTATATTAGTTTGTTCATTTTGATAGAGTTTTAATTTAGTGAATTTTTTTTTTTTTTTAAACTTCTTTTATATTATTTGCTCTATAAATAAAGGGCTTAATTATTATAATTTTTATCCTGATTATATGAATAAGATTGATTTCTCTTTGTTATCAATTCCTCTCTATTTTACACCCCATCCTCTTTGGTTCTTAAATGATCATTCACAAATTATACATTCCAACATTAATTTAGGTATCATAGTAATTCTTTTTCCTTTGACCTACACCATCTCAAATCCATCAACATTTTTCATCCAAACTATATGTACATCATCCACTTCCACCACCCATCTAATCAACTTTCATACACAAAAACCTTATAACACGGCACAAAAACGAAGAAAAAAATTCATCTCAGCAGCAATTTTTTTTCCCAGTTCTTTAGTAATTCTTCTTAGTTAGTTTCAATAAAAAAAAATGTTATTGTCTACTGTCAAGGAAATTTTTTGTGCCGGTATATACAAAAAATAAATAAAACCCCCAAACCTCCAATTATACATCCAAAACCATATGGCCCACCCCTAAACCCTTTAACCTAATAAATCCACAGCCCAAATAACACAATACACCACGCCCACAAATATCCAAACAGCCCAGTGGAATATCCAAAGCCCAAGCAAGCTACTACAAACTTCATATTTTATTTTTTTCAAATTAAAATTTGACCAGCCAGAACACCTAAATAATAAATAAAAAAATTAGCATAAAAAAAAATTGGTGCCTGACGAGACTCAAAAGAGTCAAATAGTGTGTCGATCATGATTTTCAAGTTGGCATGACTACGGTGAAGACCTGCAATTAATTCATTCGAGCGACTGATGTAATTACAAGAACCAAAATTGATCACTATAAATAGTGCAGTTTTTTCCTCCCTTCGCATAGAAGATGAGAGTTTTGAATAGCGTATTGTGTCCCTATCATATCACGCATGTAGTCGATGCACTTAACATTGACATAGCTGAGGAATTACATATAGCATTACAACCAAAGTCAAATATTTCGAGTTTATTTGACCTAGTGCCAAAATTGATATCCCCTACTCTTTTGCGTGACTTTTATGTTGTATTTGTTTTGATGTTCCACATTGTTTTTTAAGGTCATTGTTCGATGACATACCTTTTCTATTGATATTGGGCAGTTACCTACTAATTATAGGCATATGGTGTTAACACATTCTTTTGTTGTCAATATTCCTAAATTTCATGCCAAAATATATAATGACAAACTTATTTCAATCATGAAATTTTTGAACTTACTTTTGATGCTCAATATAGGCTAGAAGAGTCTAACGATAATTATTATTCTTCGTTGCTTGTCTCTTTGACTCAATTTCCTAAACACGTTAAGAAAAGAGTTTTTGATCACTCACATAAAAATACTATTTGATTGGCAATGACACTTGAATGAAAGTTAAATTTTAATGTAGAAGAACTGTTTCCTTATTGGGCCCTACTCAAGCCTTCCATTTTGAATCATTTTTCTTGCAAGTCAGTCTACAGCGTTAGTTCCTTGTGCTCAGATGAAAATTAATCTTTTAGAGTTTCACTTCGATACTTGATTAAAAGGAGAGATTATCCTCCTTGGTTAAATTATATTATCGGGGATGATTTGCAGCTTCACTGTTGTCACATTATCAGTTTCAATATTTGGTTCAAAAGAAAGATTACCCTACTTTGAATGAATTCAGCCACATGTAGTTGTCAAGGGTACAATATTGACACTTAGTCAATATAAAAGATAGTCCTCCTTGGAATATAAAGTTCTAGCTTACCTCTTTGGAGTCATTCTCTCAATCAATGGAAAATGATGGAGATCAAAATAAAATAAAGATAGAAGCTAGATAGAATTTTAATACAAAGTTTAATTTGATTTATAAGTGTTTTAATTAGATTATATTAGTTTGCTTATTTGATAAAGTTTAAATTTTAGTAGAAGTTCGTTTATTTTTAACTTCTTTTAGACTATTTGATTTATAAATAAAATGCTTAATCATTGTAATTCATCATAAAAATTGATTTCTCTTTGCTCTCAATTCTTCTTTTCTTTGCACTCCTTTCTCTATTTTTGATTATTCGTTAACAAATTATATGCTCAATTTAATTTGTTCCAAATATTACATTAAACTAGCCGAAATGATTGTTTGAGCAACATCAGTCATGCCTATCTAGTAATGAAATCAGCAG